ACTGAGGTCCTCTGGAAGAGCAGAAAATGCTCTTAACCACTGACCCATCTAACAAATCCAAAGCTAATATTTTAAATATTTTTGTTGTACTTTTGTAGTTTGTATTTCTCAAAAGGGGAGTCACTCCCAATTACTGTTAATACTTGGGGTTTATAGAAATGTAATTTTATTTGATATAAATGGTTACTGTTAAGATGTGCAAGGGTTAGAGAGATGGCTCAGCAGTTAAGAACACCGTTCTTGCAGAAGACCTGAGTTCGAATCCCAGCACCCACATGGCACCTAACAACTGTCTGTAACTCCAGTTCCAGGGGATCCAACAGTTTCTTCTGTCTTCCGCGGGCATTGCATGACATGGGTACACTTACATACATGCAGGCAATACATTCATACACATAAATAATAAATTAAAAAAAATTTTTTTAAAAAAGTGCATTAAACGTGGGTGTCCTTGTTTGGTTTTTGTTTCTATGATTATATAATACAAATGAAGTCAACTTGGGAGTAAAGGGTTTATTTGGCTGACACTTCCACACCACAGTCCATCATTGAAGAAAATCAGGGCAGGAACTCATGATAGGACCCTGGAGCAGAGACCACAGAGGAACTTGTAGCTTGCTTCCCCTAGCATGCTCAGCTACCTCTCTTATACATCCCAGGACTATGTGCCCAGGCATGACACCCACAGTGCTAGACCTTCCTACATCAATTCATGATTGTTTGTGTCAAGTTGACAAAAACTAAACAGAACACTGGGCATGGAGGTGCACATGGCAGTCCCAGTACTTTTGAGGTGGAGGCAGGAGGACCAGGAATTTGAGGTCACCCTTAACTACACAGTGAACTCAAGTACAGGAGATAGGCTCAAACAAACAAGAGTAAGGGGAAAAAGTGCATTGTAAATACTTAGACTTTTACTCTAACATTTTAGCCCAAGTGGCATGCCAATACTTAGGAGTAACCCGGTCTTGATACTGTATTCTTTGAGGGAAGTTGTACTTGTATTGACAAGTATTATTCCTCATTACCTCCGTACCACAAACTGCTCTAAGAAATTGGACTATAAGAATGAAAAAGACAGTCATGGCCAGGCATGGTGGTATACACCTTGAATCCCAGTACTCAGGAGACAAAGGCAGGTGGATCTCTGTGAGTTCAAGGCTGGCCTGGTCTAGATAGTGAAGTTCCAGGCCAGCTAGGGCTACAGGGGACCCTGTCTCAAAAAGACCGAAAAAAAAAGATAGTCATGGTCCTTGTTGCTAAGGGGCAAAATGTCTAGATTATTAATAAATCTTTTAGAACAATTTTATTCTTGATCATAAAGACTTTTGTTAAATACATGTAGTATTATATGATGATAAATGCACTTAAGACATAAACACATATATTTCCATTTCTCCTACTTTTTAGCCTGTATCGTTACTAAGCAAACATTATAATTACTTGAACACATAAAATCCCTAACTCTTAAATTTAGTTTTTAAGGGTGAGTCCCAACTTGGAGGACACTTGTTTCACTGAGATCTCTTAATCATCTGTCTCCTGGAACTGTGCTGACAGAACTGTCTTACTGGAGCCTCCATCCCTGAAATTGTGTCCCAAGTCCGGCCACAACCATAATTTTATTCAAATTGGTTTCTTCAGCTTCAGTTGAGGAACCACAAGCTTGGTTCCACCCTAATCTTAATGGACTAGCCACCCTGTGTGCAATGGTGATGGGTTGCTCCTTGCAGAGCTTTGACATGTTACTTCTCAAGCAGACCCACATTCACTCATAATCATTTTTGGGTAGAGTACTAAATTGAGGTTGCCTAGGAAATGAGATTAGGTACCAAGGTCACAAGACACAAGAGCACATAGTTTTGCTGGGGTTAATTAAAAGTCATTAGTTGAGATTATGTCCATCTATAAAAGTCATTCCCACATCAGCCTAAATAAGAGGGCATATTTATTGCTTTTTTAAGACAAGGTTCCACTCTGTAGTTCAGCCTAGCCTGGAACTTGTTATGTAGACCAGGCTGGCCTGTAACTTACAGCAATCCTTTCAACTCTGCCTGTCAAGAGTGTTATGCCACTACACCAGGAAATTCTAAAACAATATATTTTCTAATGTATTTATCTTCCAGTAAATTTTATCACTGAGTATAAAGTATTTTGGAGAAAGAAGAGTAAAGCTCCATAAGAAATCATAAATGATACTGCTCTTTTCTCTGTTCTCTCAGACTTTCTCCTCTTATAAACTCATGGGAAACATCATTCACTCTGAATCATCATTATCTTTAAATCAGAGCTTTTCCTTGGTGTATGTTCATAGTCCCCTAAATTAGCCTCTAGGTACACAAGAATCCCTGAACTTTGAACTAAGTGTAATAGGTTTGCTGAGACACTTGAGTTTAATTGCAGAGATTGAATAAATGTGCCCAACCTTTTTGGGTAGGATCAGTCTCTGGAGAGGACCAGCAGAGAGGATTTAGAAGTTGAGGGTAAGGTAAATTATTTGACCTTGAACAAGTTATATAACTTTTCTGGGTTTATTTCCTCATCCATGGTAGACTGACTCCTGGATGATAGATCTCTGAATTATCTTCTAGAGTTCAGGAAATGTTTAGGCACTTCAGTTTAAAAACATGGAGTGGGGCTGGAGAGATGGCTCAGTGGTTAAGAACACTGGCTGTTCTTGCAGGAGACCCGGGTTCGAATCCCAGCACCCATATGGCAGCTAACAACTGTCCATAACTCCAGTTCCAGGGGATCCAATGCTCTCTTCTGTCCTCCGCAGGCATTGCATGACATGGGTGCACTTACATACATGCAGGCAATACACACATACACTAAAAATAACTTCTAAACTTCTAAAAATAATAAAATATTTTAAAATAGATATATATATGGAGTAAGAGTAACAAACAAAATAGAGAGCTGAGGGCTAGAGAGATAGCTCAACAGTTAAGAGCACTGGCTGCTCTTGCAGAGAACCTAGGTTTGATTCTAAAAACCTAGGCAGCTAAAAACTGTCTTTAACTCCAGTTCCAGGGGATCCAATGCTCTCTTCTGACCTCCACAGGCATTGCATGACATGGGTGCACTTACATACATGCAGGCAATACACTCATGCACATAAAATAAAAATAATAAAAATATTTTAACAAAGTTCTACACATTGTCAGGAGATGAATGTCCAGTAGTGTTATAACAAGATTGAGGCACTAAAGAGGCAGTGACTTTTAGAAACCACCTTTTCCCAACCTTCCTTCTTTCCAGTGCTCTCTCCGCTACATTTTCTTCTAGGATCTTTCAGTTTGTCCACATGAGGGGGCAACAGTGATTGAAATGAAGGGAATTTGTAGTAATTGCTGTTCTAACTAAGTATGTCTTAATTTGCCTTGTGGCCTGTTACTGTGAATGAAGCTGGGGCTGTCCACGTGGTGTAAAGGAAAAAAGTGGAACTCATGGATGACCTCAGACAGATCACATCAACGTAGTGCTCTCGTTTGTGAAAGGAGGGGGTCGAGTACTCCCATTTTTCTTTTTCTAAATCAGACTATCATTCTTTTGTTTCTCTCCTCCCCACAGCTTGACCTGTTTTATTACTAGCAGGCAGCCTGTTTCACATTCCGTTCACTTTATACTCAAAGCCTGGCACATACTGAATATCTAGTTAACATTCATTCTTCAGGAAGGAAATGAACTTCTATTTGGCATCTCCACAGGCAGGCAGTGTCTCAACCTCAGTTTTCTTTCAATCCACTTAACATCTATGGGAGGCAGGTATTCCTAGTGTAACTCTTGAAGAAGTGGATATAGAAATTGAGTTACCAGGTTCAGAATGACAAGAGTTCACTGAAGCTTTAGTTCCATTTCTTACCTTGTATTTGATAAACTGTATCTTTTTTTTTTCTATTTTATTATTTTTAGAGACAAGATCTCATGGCCCATGACATCCCCATGTAGGTGAGGATGACCTTAAACACCCTTCCTACCTCCACCTCCCAAGTGCTGGGATTACAGGTGTGGGCTCCCACAATTTAGCTTCTTTTGTTGTTTTGCAACACTCTCCTCATCCTGGTAATCCTCCTGCCTCAACCTGCCCAATGCTAGGATTACAGGTCTGTGCAAGTACACCCAGTTTAACAGGTTACTTTAGCCCTAGCTGGCCTGGAACTTACTATGTAGACCAGGCTGGCCTTGAATTTCAGAAATCTGCCTGCCTCTGCCTCCCAAGTGCTGGGATTAATGGCGTGGACTACCACACCCGGCTCTTAAAAGATTCTTTTGCTATTGTTATTTTAATTTGTGAGTCAGGGTCTCAACAAATGCTATTTTAATAAATTTTGAAATCCAAAGTCCTTTTTTCCTCTTTTGAGACAGGGTCTCTCTGTAGTCCCAGCGGGCCAGGGAACAGAGATCCACACGTCTTTGCCTCCTAAGAGTGGGGATTACATGTGGCACCACACCAGGTCCAAAGTCCATTTTGGACTAAAACAAAACAAAATATACCGCTGCACGAATTTGCACAGCATAGCAGTAAGTGCAGTGGAATGCTTTTTTCTGTAAAGCTCCACCGTACCTACAGCACCTTCAAAGCCGGGCCAAGGGTGGAAAGCCTTCGGGGAAGGTTGGAAGCTCGAAGCTCTGGCTGTTCCGGGCGGCCCCAGCTGACTACACGGTCACCCCGCCCCGCGTCAGCTCGACCACTCAGGAGCGGGCCGCGCCTCCGCCACCCTCCCATAGGTTCTTTCCGGGACAGGCGAGGCCTTTTCATTTTCCCGCCTGCCTCTGCCTCGCACTGGCCCGGGGCGTCCGGACCCTGCTTGCCGAGCACACCCCGCCCTTCCGGACGCCGCCTTCCCCTACCCGCGGTTCGGGCCAGCCAGAGAGGCCGCGGACGCTGCGGTAGGAGGTGGCCGGGCGGCGAGGGCGGGCCGCCGGGGGTAGGCGGGGACGGAAGGGGGCGGGGCTAATCTCCTTGGCGCCGCGTTGCCATGGCAGCGGGGCCCGGGAGGAGGGGGAGGAAGCGAGCGGGCGGGGGATGTGGTGCTGCGGCGGCCGCCACCGCAGCTGCCGCTGCCTGCTCGCGGCTGGGTGTCCCGGAGGCGGCTGCCTAGAGCCGCGCGAGCAGCTGCGGTGCTCTGCCATAGTGTGTCCCGCCCGGCCCGGCCCGGCCCTGGCCTCCCCGCCGCGGTGGCGGAGCTGACGGTAAGTCCCGGGGCCGAGCGGCGCGGCTCCCGGGCACAGAGGCAGCGCGTGCGGCCCGCGCTGGGCGTGGGGCGCGGAGGCCGCTGTCCCGTGACGCGCCGGGACATTTTTGTCTCGTGAAGAATTGGCGCCGGACGCGGGGGTGTTCCCGGCGCGCGGCTCGGGCGGTGCGTAGGCTCTCGGGGGTGTGGAACTGTAGCGAGCGCGGCCCCGTGAGGAGTTCGGAGTTTCTCCCGAGGTAATGACCGCCCTGAGGGGGCGTCGTGCAGACCGAGCCGCCGCGACTGCCGTGGGCCGGGGCTTGCTGGGCGGGAACCTGCGGCCGGGGAGTTGCTCCGAGCTCCGGGGAATCCCGCGCCGCGTTGCCTCTCGGGTTCTCGTGGAGCGGGACGCGCGCGGGGTGGAGTCCCGGTCCGGCCCAGGTGGGACCGGCTGAGCTCGGCCAAGTCTTGCGGGCCGCCGGGAACTTCGTGCCGCTTGGGTGTGGGGCTGCCGGGCCGGGCTGAGCTCGGCTCATCCCTCGGGCGTCCCCGAGGGCCGCCAAGTGCTCGGCTGGCGAGTTAGTCTCCGAGCTGCAATATGGACACTTCCTTCCTGTTCGCCAGCTCCTCGGGCGCCGTCGAGCCCTCTGCTCCCCGGCAGATGGGAGGTCTGCGATGGTGGAGGGCCTGGAGCCAGTTCGCCGCTCTGCAGCCGCAGCCTGCCCAGAGCCTGGCAGCCGTGTGCGGAGTGCTCGGTGCTTCACCCCAAACTCCACCCCCGGTGCCCTCCTTCCCCCCTGCACGAGTTGGGTAGCGATTTCCCTGGAAAGCCGCACTCTCCGGGTCCTCTTGCTTCTCGTCTCTGTTGGAAAGTCTGCTGGAAAGTCAGTCTTTCCAGCAGTCCTTTCTTTCTTTTTGCCTTACAAGGGGCGGGGGAGGCGTAGCGTGCGGAGAAATGACACAGACTTTTCTACTCTCTGCAACTCCGAGCTGAGCGATTGATTATTTCCAGGTTAGTTGCTGCTCTTTCTCCCGTCTTCTGATGGTGACAGCCACGTGGCCGGCCGAGTGACTGGGGCTTGAGGCTTCCCTGGGAGCCCTGGCTTTGTGACAGTGTCGGAACTGCTTCTTCTAAGAACTTGTCTTGCATTCTGGTGCCGAGAAGTGGAAAAGCAGAAGCAGTGGTGTCTAGCGCTGTTTCACCTTAATCTTAGGGCTTTCCTTTGCATTTCTGGTAAGGTGTGTGCTGACGCTTTTTGCTGTTCGGTACAGGTTTGATGATTCATACTGAAAATTTTAGCAGTATTAGGTATCAAAGAGTGAAAGGGAATAGACATATAGAATTACCCGATTCAAAAAAAAATCATTGGAATTTCAAAGCTATTAATGAGATTCCAGTGTAATCTGAGATAGTCACATTCTGATGTGTTACGTTTTGAACTTATTTTTTAAATCCCACTTTTTTCCTTTCACATAAAAGATTAAAAGGGAAAATTTTTTTAGGGCTAAATACACATGATTTGTCTATGTGCACTTAAGTTTTTTTTGGAAAATGTTAGCAGTGAATAGGAACAGATTTCATACGAAGGGAAATTTTTACTTTTATGTATAAAAGTGAAAGGGACAAGAGTTAAGGCTAAATAAATAAACTTTTGGAAAGTATAAAATTTTAGAATGTAAATACACTCCTAGGTTAGTAACACGTTTTCATTTTGTGAGCTTTGGAGTATTCGAATTGTTTTTATTATCATTAGTTTTACTCAAAAGCACAGGAAACATTTTTAATTGTAAAGAATTTTATGTAGAGAGAAATCATAGCAGTTGGATTTGCTGAATTTTATTTTGTGCTGAGTGATGTTAATGAAGATAGTGAAGCGTTGCTGTAGGGTTCAGTGCTGAAGGGAAAACAATTGAAAATAAGTGTGTTCTGACCATTGAACAATGCTTAGCTAAGAAAGAAAAGTAAATGAATGAAGAAATATGTAAGTTAGGAAGCAGTGCGAGGATAGGCTATAAGAGCTCATCATTTGTTATGAGAGCTAGTATCAAAATGAAACTTAAAAATGGGACCCAAACTGGAAACAGTCTCTTTTTTTTTTTTTTTTTTTTGAAGACAGTGTTTCACTATTCCAACTCACAGAAATCCACCTGCTTCTGCTGGAGATTAGAGGCATTCACTGCCCTACCTGGCTAGTCTTATTCTTACAACAGCTATTACAGTGTGTGTGTGTATGTATGTATGTATGTACATGTGTGCATGCGTGTGTGTTTTGAGACAGTCTCTCACTGCATGGTCCTGTCTGGCTTTGAACTTGGAGTGATCCTTTTACCTCTGCTACCTGAATGTTAGGATTATAGGTATGCACCACTGTGTTCAGGCTTGCATGTAGTTTTGTTTTGCTTGTTTGAGACTGGATCTCATGTAGCCCAGGCTAGCCTCAAAATTCCCACGTAGCTGAGGACAGCCTTAAACTTCTGATCCTCCTGCCTCTACCTCCCAAGACCTGGTATTACAGATGTGCACCACCATTCCTGGTCTTGTTATTGTTTGTTATGACAGTTCAAAAGTGGTATTTTTAAACGTCTTTTTTTGTGCTTGTTGCTTTTAGATTGTGTAATTTAGTAAATGGGTTTTAAGTAAATGGAAAAGTATCCTCCAGAAATATTTTTTGACAACCTAAGACTTTACTGATTTAGGGAAGAAAAAGATATCTAAGTCTGATCTTACTCTTGTGCCACCATGCCTGGCCCTGATCTTACTCTTACATTGAAGAAATTTAAACACAAATGGAAGAAAGTTTACAACTGAGACAGTGTGGGAGTTCTATTTATACAGGCAGGAGCAGTAAGGATTAAATGGAAAGGAGACTTAAGAAGGCTTGAGTGGGTACAGGCTTCTTAGAGAAAGAAGGCTATTGCTATCTAAAGAGGAAGCCCCATGCTACCACCATTAGTGTTCCTGCAGATATCACTCAAATGGCCACACCCTTTATAGCAAGTGCAAATGTGGGATGTCTTCTCTGGAACTTTTACACATCAGTTGCAGTCTTCTCTCATCTTAATCTTACCCTGACCTATAGAAACTGTTAATTTTCTCCATCATTGTGATTCATACCTATGTTGACAGTAACTTTTTTCTGTTGGAAATGTTCTTGCACACTCAAATTTGAGGCCTGGTTGAAATCTTGTCTGCTCTATATACCTTGGAATTACAGAATTTTAGACATTCTTTGGGGCTGTATGTCTGGGTTTTTGTTTGTTTGGTTTTTTTTTTTTTTTGGTTTTTTTTGAGACCTTGTAGCCTCAGCTGGCCAGGAGCTCTCTATGTAGACCAGGCTGGCCCTGAACTCACAGAGATTCTCCTGCCTCTGCCTCCCAAGTGCTGGGATTAAAAGCATGAGCCACCATGCCCGGTTTGTACTATCTGTTTTAACAAAACAAATTTTGAGCACTTAACCTTATGCCAGGCCATATTATAAAAATTATGTTTGACAGCATTGAATAAGAGAAATTCTTACATGCTTTTTGTTTTGTTTTGTGCCCCCCCCCCTTTTTTGTTCTTTTTTTGAGGCAGGGTCTCCCTGTAGCTCTAGCTGGCCTGGAACCTAGTCTGTAGACCTGGCTGGCCTTGAACTCACAGAAATCCATCTGCTTCAGCCTCCTTAATGCTGGAGGAGTCCTTTTTTTTTATTTTAAAAACTTTTTTTAATGTTATGAGGGTTTTGCTTATTTTAAGTGTACAGTATACATGCAGTGCTCATAGAGGCCAGAAGATGGTGTTGGATCCTCTAGAACTGGAGTTCGGTTGGTTGGTAGCCTTTGTGTGGGTGCTGGGAACCCTGGTCCTCTGTGAGGACAGCAGTGTTCTTGAACCATTGAGTCATTGCTCCAGCCCCTGACCACATGTATTTCATGACATGACAGCTTTAAGAAGTCCAGGGTTAGGTTCCCAACACCCACACGATGGCTGACAACTTTAACTCCAGTTTCAGGGGCTCCAACATGCTCTTCTCTGGCAGGTACCAGACACATATGTGATGAACTTACATACATGCAGGCAAATGCTCATACACAGAAAATAAAAATAATCTTTAAAAAATAATTTTTTAAAAAGTCCTGATTAGAAATTTTATGGGCTATCCCTCAGCTAAGTCTTGTCTGTTGTATTTCTCAGCATGAGATTGAGTTAGTTAGGGGGTTTTAGGGAGGAAGGTAACAGATAAAGTACCCTTCTAACATCAAGCGTGCATGCTAACAACATGGCAGAACTGATGATAACCTTGACATTTGTCACATGAGTATGATCTTTACTTGCCACATCTTACACACCCTGCATTGGACACCAGGTCTGCTTTGGAAGCAAGTTAGTAAGTATGGCTCATGCTCACAGGCCTTGACCTAATTCATGTTTTTTGTTGTTGTTGTTGTTGTTTGTTTGTTTGTTTTTTTATTCTTCAACCTAATTTTCCTTTAAATAAAAAAATTAAACCTGGGTAGATACTTTTGAGCACTACCTGTGTTTAGATGCTAAGACTAGAGTTGTGAGCAAGAGAAACATTTTTATACTCCGGAGTCTGCCTGATTTAATCAAAAAGTAGGATTTATTGCTTCACCATATATGGGTTTTGTTTTCATCAACATTTGTAAATATAAAGTTACTGAGGCCCTAAAAGTCTAAATAAAGCTCTTTACTGAAGTAACCATTTAGAAGATGCACTGTCATGAAAGTTTAATATATGTTCTATAACCAGTAGCTGTCTTTGTTACCAACACAGATTTTGATTTTTCCAAGTAGGTATATTACTGTCAGGTTATCAGAGGAGTTCAAATTGTGCTTAACTATCTTCATATTTTTGTTTTGAGACTGTCTTATATAGCTGAGGTTGGCTTTGAACTCCTGATCCTCCTGCCTCTATCTCCTGAGTGCTAGATTGTAGAAGTGTGCCACTATGCCAGGCTACTTTCATATCTTAAGTTCGCAGGTATTTTGGCCTTCTTAGTAGTGTTTTCATTTGCATT